GACCTGTCCCTCTAGCCCCTTTATCTCTCCTGGCTTTGAACCCACAGCAGCTTCTTCTACATTATTCTTCTTATGAATCACTTCTCTTCCCTTCGCTTTGCTATGAAAGAATAAACTTTAGAAACAGTAAACCCTGGACTCCTTCCTTTCTCTTTGCCACCCCCACAGGAGGCCCCTCCCTTTGCTGCCTCTGGATCCCAGCTCCTTTGGGGGTCCAAAGACAGAACTGGTTTGGGAGGATGGTGGGCAGATCCGGGGAGGGGAAGGACCCCCTCCTGCTCAGAGGCCTCCTTGCTCTGCTTCCCCTCAAGCCCCCTTTGGAGGAGCACAATGCCAGCAGGCAGGGTCCTCTCTGAACATTTGTGGGGAACCATTGGGGACACCTGAGACCCCCCTACATTGACCCGGACATTTCAATGATTTCTCTCCCTCACAACTGGAGGAAGATCCTGCCCCATTTTGGCACCCCAGAACCCCCTCCCTCCCTCTTTTGGGCTCAGATTCAAATGGTATAGACTAGACCTAAATGGTGTAGGCCCAAGCAGGGGGTTGGACTAGATGATCTCCAATTAATCCACCTGAAGCCTTTCCTGGTGTAAAAGATATTTGCCATGGAGGGGAAGAGCAGCTCTGCGGGAAAGAGGGAGGAGGTTCAATGGGGCAGCCCTGAGTGGAAGTCCTCTCTCTTCTCCCCAACATTTCTAGATGTCCTTAGGTAGCCCTCCAATTGAGCCTCGCCCCCTCAAGAGGTCATCCAGACTGGCTCTGCAGGACTCAAGCTAGATGTCTAAGGGCAGAATTTCCCCCTCCCAATTCCTAATCTGGGGTCTTGGGGCCACCACAGGAAGAATCTTTGTGTCGTTGGAGAAAGTCTCTCAAACACAGGGAAGATTTGGAATTGACAACACCAAATGTATCAATGACAGGAAAAAAAATTCAGGTTTCCTTAACAAAGAAAATGCATTGTTGGTTATAGATGCTTCATTGCTCAGGGGAACTGAACCAGCGAATTTTTAGAGAATCAAGCAAGGGGGGTTGGCTGTTTCCCGGGAGCAGCTATCAAAGAGGCAGCTGAGGGGCTTCCAGAAATAATGACGTCCACAGATTCTTCTTATCCCTTTTCCCTCTTTCATGTGGGGAGGAATGAAAAAGTCCCTGGAAACTTCCGGTGGGCCAGAGGACCTTTTGGCTGCCCCACCTGGAGACTCAGCCATGGGGCGGAGGAGGACAATTCCTGAGCTGCCCTGGTGAAGAATCCAGGTTTGTTGCCTGCTGGATCCTGGCCAGTTGCTCAGTTGTGCTTCGGAGGAGCCCAAAGCTTCAGGCTGGGGAAGTGGAACCCAAGCGCCTCTGCAGCTGATGGGGTTGGAGGAAGAAGTGCTGCTCTGTGTTTGTGTGTGTGTGTGGGGGGGGGTGTCAGGAAAGTGAGGAGGGAGGGAGGGAGGAGAGAGCAAGAGGGGGGAGGGGCAGAGCCCAGGAATTATATTTCTTACTTCCAGAAAGTGGAATATCCGTGCCACCCAATGAAAAAGCGATCCTCGAGAGCGTCATCCATCTCCAGGCAGAGGAGCCATGGCCGGGTCCTTTGGCGCAGGTGCCGGGCGACGTTCCGCTGTTCCGTTGCTGCCTCCCCTGGTCGCCCCGCCACCTTCCCGGTTAATGCAAAGCCTCTGCAGGAAGGAGGGAGGGGGGCCTCCCCTCTTGATTAACCCCCTAATTAAGTCAATTAGGGTCAATTTCCCCCTTATCGAGCCCCCTTCTGCAGCCCCAAGGCCGAACTCCGACCCCCACTTGGAAGCCCCAGGAGAGGAGATGGGGAGGCATCAGAATATAGATTAGTAACAGAGAATCAGAGTTGGAAGGGACCTTGTAGGTCATCTAGTCCAACCTACCATCACCTGGCTCCTCCCAGCCTGAAGGGGGCGGAGCTTCCCTCCCTCCGGTCCCTGCCCATCAACCGCCCCCCTGCAGTGTGGGCCTTCCTGGGGAGAGGGACTGAAAGGGGTCCTTTTCTCCCCATAGATTCTCCACAAAGGTTTACATCAGAGATTTTATTTCATATTCTCATCTTCCTTCTCCTCTTCCTCCCTCCAAGCCCTCATGAGTTCATCCAGGTATCGGATGCAAAAGGATTTGGGTTTTTTTTGATGAATTTCTGGCTTTTCCTTTTCGAAAGACGGAGACTCAACCTGGCCGGTGGGTGAGAAGAATCGCGGATGGACTTTCTCCTGCTGAGACTCACCGGCTTCCTTTTGAGGGGGTTGGAGGTAGAGGCCATCTAGTCTGGCCCAGGCTTGCCGGTCTCCCCAGAGCCCCCCACCAACCTCTCCTGCTCGGCAGAGCCCGCTCCCCCATTCACAGCAACGGCTGCGACCCTCCACCTCAAATCCCTCTTGCCCTTAGCCAAGGCCACCGGATCCAGGAAGATCCCAGAGGATCCAGGAATCTCTAGTGATCCTGGGACCCCCCCCTTCTTGAGAGAGGACCCACCCTGGTCAGCAGCTTTCCCCACCACCTTTATGAAACTCCCCTCCCCCGAAAAACAACCCAGCTCTCACCACTTGGGGAAGGAGGACCAGAAAACGGGCCCTTTCACAGACTCTGGGAGGGCAGAGAAGCCATCAAGGGGGATGGGGGGGATAAACTCAGCCCCCTCCCCTATATTTGTATCTCAGCAAAGGCCCTGTGAACAGGCCTGCAGGTGTACACACGCACACACTTACAGGAGAGACTCTCCTTGGAGAAGCAGCAAAGGCGGCTATCATGCCCCTGTCGGAAGCTGACTGGGAGCGGGAGTGTGGCTCCATTGGCTGGGGAAGAAATTGGGGAGGGGCACGGTCCGACTGAGCTGAGCAGGGGAGAGGTAGAGCAAGGGAGAGGGAATTAGGAGGAAGACCCAGGCCCACCCCCTCTTCATTCTAGGGCATGCAGGGAGGAACAGAGAAGGGAGCAATGTGAGTTGCATGGCTTACGGGGGAGGAAAGGGCCCTGATTCCCTTCATCAGCTGTGGCTGGGGACACAGTATTTAAAAAGGGAGTTTGCACACAGCAAAGTTTCTGGAAGCAAATCGTGAGTTATCTTTGTTTGTCGAGGCTCATCTGGGTTCCTGGCATCTTCCCAACTATATGTGTGTTTGTTGGCCTTTCAAGGTTGCAATTCCTTCTCCTGCCCTGTCCAGTTAATTGCTGCAGTGTGGTTTGTGTGGATTTTTAGCTACAGTTTGCATGTACTTTGTCTTGGAGTGAATTTCCTCCACTTAAGGGCTGTTATTGGGAGAGTTTTTTCTGCAGCCAAAGGGAACTGGTCATTGGGGGCAAAGTTGGAGGTATTAAAGGACTCTTCTTACTTATGGGACTGTGTTGCCACGCCCCACTCTTCAGTCACCTGAGACCACCTGAGGGACCTTTACCAGGGCTACTCCTCTCAGCCTCACGATCCTTCCTGCCTTCGGGTCCTCTGGGCAGTGGAGACTCCGAGACTCTTGCACAACCTGGGGTGCTGCTGAAGCTCCCCCCAACTTCATGTCCTGGGTGGAGCTCCCAGTCTTGGCCTGGGGGTCCCCAACAGAGACGTGTGGGTCCCCCCCTCCAGAGCCCCACCTCCTCAGAAAAGAGCCCGGGCAATCCTGCGGCCAGTGGCCTTGATCTTCGGGAAGGTGGCGCTGATGTCCATCTCCCTGGCTCGGGGGCTTCTGGGTGGTGGGGTGGGAGGGGGGGTCTTCCTCGGTGGGCCCTTGGGCCGGAGCAGGAAGTCCAGGCTGAAGCCATTCCTGGCATAGAAGATGTTTTCCATGGGGGGGAAGACCAGCTCTGCGGGAGAGAGAGAGGGGGGGATCAAGGAGGAAGACACCCCGCTTCCCTCCTCCCCATCCACCCCACCCCTGCAACCCTCCCACCACCACACACCAGGCCTCAGCAGGCTGCCCCTCTCAAATCTGAACTCGAACACAAGTCTTCTGTGCGCAGAGATGTCGCTTTCCAGAATCAGATCTGCAGGGACCCCACCGTGCCAGGGAGACTTCCAGAAAGTGCTCCATAGTGGCCACAACACATTCACACACACACACCGGCCCTCCTTGTGGAGCAGTCAGGCCAGCCCCGCCGACAGCCCTTCCCCTCTTCCTCACCTCGGCCATCCGGCAACAGCTGCACCAGCTCGTAGTCATGTGCCAGATTCTTGTCCTGGTTGTGTTTCTCCAGCACCTTTGCTTGTTATGTCTCCTCTTGGAGATTCAAACGAACAGACACAAAGCAGCCGTTTCACAATCAAATCAAACTGAAGGAAAATAACAAGATAACGACTGGCAGAAACTGTTAGAATTCCCCTTCAAAATTCAAACAAACAGAGATCTCTTTGCAGAAACGTCCTCATTCAAAATAGACATTTGGTTTCTGGCAAAAGGCACCAGCACAGCTGTGTCCTTTTATACCCATTAAGGCAACGTGCTAATTAACTGGCTTGCCCTTCAGATTAACGTTTCCTGGTTCTGACGTCAATCCACGATCTAACAGTCATCAGATTCAAAATTCCTAACAGGACCGATCCTTCCAATCACAATACTATCCCCCACCTCAGGGCCCTTCCCCCGAGTCTGATGATTAACTTGACGATGTTTCGTTGACAACCCCACTCTGTCTCCCACAGCCAATGGAGGCGTCGCTCGTTCCAATTGTCTCAGGTGGTCTACACATTGGAGACTTGGAAAAGAAATACCGTTCTGCGACCAAGCCACCAACGGATTGTGCAAACGCAACCAGGACATTCCGAGCACCAAAGGGAGATGAAGGTTCGAGGTGATATAAAAACTTATCGCCTCCTCATGATCCCCAATGATCATATGCACTGGCTGGGTGGCGAAACGAATGGGCCCAGACTTGAGCTCACGCCCATCCATGGTTTCCACCTTAATAGGTGGATGTACAGCAACCAATGGAATCCCATAGTGCGTAGCAAAAGCTCGGTCCATAAAGCTGGTTGTAGCCCCTGAGTCCACCAACGCAACAGCAGGAATTCCCTCCTTCTGTGACTGTAGAAAAATTCGAGTGTCCAAAAGTAAATGCCGAGGAGGGCCAGGATTTACTTTGTTAGTGTTTGGGGACAAACCCCCAAACAGAATGTGCAGCAGCAGTCAAGCCAGGCAGCCAAATGAGAGAGGAAGGGCCCTAGAGTTTACACACACTGATGACAAAACTGTTTGTAGTTTAAATAGTTGTTTAATCCAATTAGAGTTTAAACATTGTCAATCAGTCCATATGTCATTCACAAATATATCCATTCAGTAACTTAGTCCATTTACTAGTCAGTTCTATATCCTTATCTGCTTGTAAAGATATCTTCTCCTCTGATACCTTTCCTTTTGAATACAACGCTGAGTATTCACAGGATATCAGCACATCAATGAAATAGTCCTTTCGTTCAGGTATTCAAACAGTTGTAGCAAACAGTAGCAAACAAACAGTAGCAAGCAGATACCAAGCAGAGAGAGATTACGTTTCTCTTACTGCCTTTTATTGCCGTTTGTAACCGCACCCTTAATTAGTTAATTACAAGCAGTTTTTTGCTTAAAGCTACAAGTTACAAACACCCAAACCTTGGTTTATATATTTATTCACCCAAACTTAGTTGGTGTATCAATGTTATACCCAACATACTTCAGCAATTTGAGGTGGGGATGTGAAATGTGTCCGACCTAGGGTTTCCTTGAGGTCAGGTCTACCCTGTTTTCCTGACGAGCCAAGAGTGGTTTCAGGTACGGGTCTGCGGGTCCCTCTTCGTTTGCAGGAATTAACAAAATGTCCCAGACCCCCGCAATAAAGGCACAAACTTTCCTGGAACCTTCTCGTACGTTCTCGCACCGTTAAGCGAGGGCGGAGTGCGCCTAACTCCATCGGCTCCTCAACATTAACCATGGGTTGGAAAACTCTCGGTGGCGTGGGTTGTGCACGAGAAAATGAAGATGGTTCCATACCGAGCCGTTTGCATCCACGTTGCTGTAAACGAGCTTCAATTCGCAAGCACCGAACTATCAATGCATCCAAAGTTAAAGCCCTCTCTGCATGGACCAGCTCATCTTTGATGGCATCAGACAAACCTTCCTGGAATGCAGCCATATGAGCCAGTTCGTTCCAATTGGAGTCCAAACACAGCAAACGAAATTCTGCAACATAATCCTGCAGGGAACATTTCCCCTGATTTATATCCCATAAACGTCTGTCCACAGTTTGTATCTTAATTGGATTCTCAAACATCACTCTCATTTGTTGAAGAAAACCCTGGAAATCATTCAACAACGGGCTATCTTGAACTAACAAAGGAGTAGCCCAATTAGCAGCCTGCCCAGATAAGAGGCTAAGAATGAATCCTGTCTTGGCCCGATCATTTGGAAAGTTTTCAGGCCTCAAGGACATAAATAATTGACACTGCCCCAGAAATGCCGGAAACATGTCCGTTTGCCCAGAAAATTTCTCCGGCATGGATACTGGGCTTTTCCTCACAGGAGGGGCAGGGGGAACAGCAGCAGGGCTTGGTAAGCTGGAAACATAATTCAGCGATTGTGTTACCTGATTCTGAAGCGTCACATTGCTTTGCAGTAGCTGATTTATTTGCTGTTGCTGCTGCTCTACCAAACGCTGCAGTTGATTTAAATCCATCTTGCTTGAAAAATGGTTTGTTTAGGCCAGAAACAATAATGTTATGTCTCCTCTTGGACATTCAAATGAACAAACACAAAGCAGCCGTTTCACAATCAAATCAAACTGAAGGAAAATAACAAGATAACGACTGGCAGAAATGGTTAGAACTCCCCTTCAAAATTCAAACAAACAGAGATCTCTTTGCAGAAACGTCCTCATTCAAAATAGACATTTTGTTTCTGGCAAAAGGCACCAGCACAGCTGTGTCCTTTTATACCCATTAAGGCAACGTGCTAATTAACTGGCTTGCCCTTCAGATTAACGTTTCCTGGTTCTGACGTCAATCCACGATCTAACAGTCATCAGATTCAAAATTCCTAACAGGACCGATCCTTCCAATCACAACATTTGCTACCACAGTGGGGGCCTTATCCTGGCTTGTTACCTGGGGAGGAAGATGGAGAAAGGGGGTCAGTTGGTGACCCCGTTGATGCCTCCCCCAAAGGCAGAAATGTCACCCAGCACTTG